CTCTGGTACAGCATGCACATATTGCCTATGCAACAACTCTTCTGAGTATCAAGAGAGGCCCTGGAATATCAGAGGAAGAAAAAAACAGCAGAAAGTGGTGGACTAGCAAGCACAAAACACAATGTATTGGAAGTAGGAAGCAGATCTAGAAAGGCTATATATATATATAAAAGAGTCCTAGAAGCCATCTACTTGAGATCACAAGATGTCAAACTTTCTTTTTTTTTTAATATTTATTTATTTATTATGTATACAATATTCTGTCTGTATGTATGTCTGCAGGCCAGAAGAGGGCACCAGACCTCATTCCAGATGGTTGTGAGCCACCATGTGGTTGCCGGGAATTGAACTCAGGACCTTTGGAAGAGCAGGCAATGCTCTTAACCACTGAGCCATCTCTCCAGCCCCCAAGATGTCAAACTTTCAAAAAAGAAAAAATGTAACTGCACAGTTACTTCTAACAAAATTGTATATGAATCTCAATATATAATATAGTTGAATGTTATATATGTAAATGTATTTTAGAAACAAGCACTTAAGTAAAGTTGGTCAATGATTTCAATAATGCTTTTCTGAAAAAAAAGGGAGATGAAGGACCATCCCAGGAGAACCTCAAAACACAGAGGATTCATACAAAGTCACCACTGAAGAACGAACAAGGCAGAAAAAAATCTCACAATCATCTTCAAAATGGGACAGTAAACAATCCCTTTTCCCTTAACTTACCTTCCTTTTAAAAGCTGGATTAAAAACTAAAAATTAAACCTAATGTTTCCTGTGTTCTCCATCATCTCTTCAGCTCCTGACCTATATCTCTATCCCCAAGGCAGCAGCTCTGAGCCCCAGTTGTTCCTCCACTAAGGGATTGTGTTCCTCCTCCTTAAAACAATACAAAGAACACCAGCAATGCTTCTGGTGAGCTGTGCTAACCTGCATGACAAGGGATGGTGTTTTATGTTGCCTGGCACCTAATTATTATTATTGTAATCAATAATGAATTTCAACAGAAGAAAGAAAGAAAGAAAGAAAGAAAGAAAGAAAGAAAGAAAGAAAGAAAGAAAGAAAGAAAGAAAGAAAGAAAGAAAACAAGTCATAAAAAAACAACTCTGAGTCAGGCAGGGGTAGCGCACGCCTTTAATCCCAGCACTCGGGAGGCAGAGGCAGGCAGATCTCTGTGAGTTCGAGGCCAGCCTGGTCTACAAGAGCTAGTTCCAGGACAGGCTCTAAAGCTACAGAGAAACTCTGTCTCAAAAAGCCAAAAAACAACCAACTCTGGAAGCTGTGGAATGAGGATTATGAGTATCCTACAATGGCATGTTTTAGTATTAATATTTCTTTACATAATTATGATCATATAAAGAATGCCATCATTCTTAAGAAATCTGTACAGATGATCCAGAGCAAAGGAATGATGCCTGCAGTTTGTGATCAAATCAATCATTATATATAAATTGGATGGCAAACAGTGAATCTGAGTAAAGGTTGTAACAAAATTTTATTTACTATTTTCTGTAAATTTGAAGCAGAATAAAACATTAAAAGCTATAGCACAGCTGGGGGGTGGTGGCGCACGCCTTTAATCCCAGCACTCGGAAAGCAGAGGAAGGCAAATCTCTGTGAGTTTGAGGTCAGCCTGGGCTTCAAAGCTACAGAGAAACCCTGTATCAAAAAGCAAAACAAAACAAAAAGCTATAGCACAAATCTAAATGTGTTAGCACCAGCTTATAATTCCATTACTAGAGATGTGAAAGCAGAAGAATCAGGACTTCAAGGCTAACCTCAGCTACACAAGTTTAGGTCAGTCTGAGATACAGGAGAGCCCACTGCAAAACACAAAAACAAACAAAACCTCTACAGCACAATTACTAGCATTTTCTCCTTCTGCACTCGTATAACACCAGCACTATCCACAATGACACTGTTCAGAAATAGAAGTTTTGGAAACCCTCCCTAGGTAATATTGCTGACTGGTCACAAGATTGGATCTAAGGTCCATTAATTCAGGCTAAAAAGCCTGACATCTTTTCCCTCTTAGTCTTTCCAGAGAAGCCACTATTTAGGTTCTAACCACTGCTGTCATACACTAAACTATTAAAAATGCATTCTCTTTCCAGGCTCTAAGGGAAGCAATGTTCACTGTCAAGGCATGGGCTAAGAATGAGGTTGTCTGCATTATTAACACTAAAAACACAAATTAATTCACTTTTTAAAAACAAATCTTTTTAAAATTTTTATTATTGTGAGTTCGTACATGTGTGTGTGAGCATGCACACAAATGCATGCAATGTGTGTATGTGTGAAGGTACATTCATGCCATGGTGTCCATGTAGAGATTTGAGGACAACTTTTAGGTTCTATGACAGCTCAAATCACCATGGTTTCTTAGCAGGTGTTTTTACTTGCTGAGGCATCCTGCTGTCCCAACCCTGTTATTTTTCACACTCATGTAACAGGTGGTTTTTTTTTGGGGGGGGGCAGGGGGTATTCATTTCTGTTCATATGTTCTGATTCAGCTGAGTAATCAAACATCAATGTGTTATCCCTTCCTCCCAGTTTCTTGTCATAATTTTCAAAGTCTTTTTGTTAAGGGCAGATTCACAGCTCTGTCCCTGCTTAAATAATAGTTAACACTACTGCTGCTACTGATACTACTAGTTACTATGTATAGATAATACATAGTTAACATGATTATGTACAAGACACCTTTCTAAGCATTTTAAAAGCATTATACCTGCTGATTCCTCACAAAATCCTGGGGCAAGATCTACTATTATATATATATCTTCCAAGTAGAAAAAGTGAAGTATTAAAACTGTCATTGCTCCAACTAAAATACCTATGAAGTCAGGTCACTGGATGTGACTACAAGCAGGAGTCCCTAATTTAATAGGATATATATATATTGCCTCTCAATTTGAAAACAAGTAAATAACAAAATGGTCTATCATCCAGGAATTTGAAGCAACAGTCCATACTTATGCTTTAAAAGTAACTTAAACTGTTAACTGTTGCTTTCTAAACAAATGAGCTCACACTTATACTTGATGCCAAGAGGTATATACTCTGTAGTGAAACTCTTAGGCAAGTTTGGTTTTGGACAGAATGAAGAAAATCCAGTGAAACTAACTTAAGTACCTGAATTCGCTGAGGTGAGGCTACCGCAGAGTCGGTGGAAATTATCTGGATGCGCGGGGAGGGGCTGGTCATCCCTGGAGATTCCGGCCGAGAGGTCTGTGTACGTGGTACCTATGGATGAGAATATGGGGCTTAGGAAGTGATTTCCTGAGGGCTATACTTTTCTTTCTTTTTTAAAGGCAGGGTCTGGTCTTCATGCTGGCTTTGAACTACTGAACTACTGACTCTCCTGTCTCTACCTCCCAAGTACCAGAATTACAAGTAAGTACTACCTTGCCTAGCACAAGCATGGCCCTTGCTCTGCTGTGGCCTAGAGTGATAAACTTGAATTTTGAGGTATCAAAATAGGACAACAAAGGAAGTAGTGAGATACTGTCCATGATTGTCCCAAGAAAACGCTACTTAAAATAGCTGCTTCTGATGTTGAAAGCACAAGGACAAACCAAATCAATTTTACTTTTCATGACCTTTAAAAAAGGGGAAAAAAAAGCTATCAAAAATAACTTTTTTTTAGGACACGCTCTTTGAATTTTTTTTTCCACTGTTTCCAAAGCCAGCTGTAAAACTCTCCTCTGTGATGACTTTAATAGAAAGTCTTTCACAACATTGCAAGGGATAGATAGCAAAGAGCCAGCACGGCTCTGAAAATTACTGAAAGCAGCATTTATGGACAGGTCTTGACAACCTCCTAGACCCAGGAAGAATGAAGTTGGGCAAAGTTCACCACAAATACAAAGATACCTACCAAAGGTGAGGGTCAACGTGCTGAGTGGTCACCTGGGTACCTGAAGTGAGAAGACAGTATTTTGATTAAAAGGCTATCACGAACCAACACCAGGCAAAGGTGTCTTGTCCCCTCATCTAAAAATATGTTTCCATAACTTACTCTGTGAGGTCAATATTGCTCAAAACTAAATATGTAATGAACATTATCTTACAAATACAGATATAAAAACTCAATCAAAGAAAGGAAACTGAATCCAGCAGCATTCCTAAGTGCAGCTTACCCAAAGAGTGCAAGGCTGGTTCAATGCATGAATCAGTTCGCCAAAAGCTGCAAGATTACTTTAATGGACAAACAGAAAGCATTTGACAAAATCCAACACTCTTTTATAAGAAAAGAAAGACAACAAGTTAGAAATAAGGAGTGCCCTCAATCTGGTAGAAGATAGAAAACAAAGCTTTCCCCCAAGGTGAGAAACAAGACAAGGTATGTTTTTATCACTATATAATTGTACTGGAACTGCTAGTCAAGAAAGAAGATAGAGAGAAAAGAAAACTATAAGGAGGAAAAATGAGAGTAAAAGAGGAAGAAAGGAAGAAAAAGGAGGGAAGCAGAATATATCAATCATCTCCATATGCGTGTTCTTACATAAAACCTTACAGAACCCACAAAACTTCCCTCACGAATGATCATAGGGTATAAAATAACTGTATTCTATACACTGGCAATAAACAATCTGAAAACAATATTAAGGAAATAATCTCACTGATAACATAAAAAAAGAACAAAATGTGGGAATAAATTTAACGAAGTAAGTATAAACAAGCCAGATGTGATGGCTCAAACATGTAATCCCAGAAACTTGAGGCAGCAGAAAGTGAGAGGCCAACCAGAGACACATAAATTCTATGTACCTCTGACTGGGCTATAGAGTGAGAACTTGTCCAAAAGAAGAAAAAGAAAACAAACAAAAAACACCCAGCAAACAAACATAAAAATCTCCAGAAAATACCACTGCAAGAATTAAGACAGCTTAAATAGAAACACAACTCTGTTCATAGACCAAAACATAATGCTAATTAGCACCGTTTCCTCAACTGACAAATTCAATGTCGTCCCTGTTGAAATCCCAGGTACTTTTTCCCATTCCATAATTTGATCTGTTGACCATAAAGTTCATGTGAAATGCAAAGAACCCAGACAAGAGGGAAGGGGAGAGGAGTGGGGGAGGGGGAGAAGAGTGGGGGGAGGGGAGAAGAGTGGGGGAGGGGGAGAAGAGTGGGGGGAGGGGGAGAATGGGAGGCTGGGAGGAGGCTGAAACTTTTTTTTCCTATTCTCAATAAAAAAAAAATCTAAAAAAAAAATATGGAAGAGAGTACCTATGGGAGCACAACGTCTGTGGTTAAGTGTTGAGAGCAGAGGGATCAATATCATATTTTCTATTAACATAAAATAAATTACAATTGCATTAAAAAAAAAAGAACCCAGACAAAACAAATAAAATAAAGATGTAGGAGGACTCAACACTTCTACATTTGATTACTAAAACCTATATAATCAAAGCAATCTGGGATCCACCACTCTAACTTCTAGTATTTAGCTACAAGATCTAAAATGAAAGCACTGTTTACATTTCAGTGCGGTATTCAAAATTAACAAAGTTACAGGATCATTCAAGTGTCATTAACAGATGAATGGATAAAGAAAACACAGAAATGGCTCAGCAATTAAAAACACTATAGCTATTCTGGGGAGGACCCAGGTTTGCTTCTTGGCACCCATATGGCAGCTCACAGTCTACCTCAACTCCAGTTTCAGAGAATCTGACATTTTTCTGGCCTCCTTGGGCACTATACATACATGGTGCACATATTTAACGCAGGCAAACATTCATACATATAAAATAAAAGTATTTTAAATGGTATATAAAAAACAAAATATGGGTATACACATACAATTTAACAATGTCAGTTATGACAACATGAATGGAACTAGAGAACACTATGCTAAATGAAATATGTCAAGAACAGATACCTACACTGTCCTCAACAGTTGAAAACACAGAAGAGTAGAATGACGGAAAGAGAAGATATGTCAAGAATTATCAACTCTCACTCTATTTCCTTGGGTGTTATTGAGATCTACTGCACAGTGTAATGAACAAGGTTAATGAGACTGTTTTACACACCTCAAAAGCAATAAGAATATGTTTCAGGTGTTCTCGCAAAATATTTAAAGTGCTGAATGTTAAGTAGCTTGACTTAATATACTGCATTGTATTAAAAATTTGCAGTGTTGCCGGGCGATGGTGGCGCACGCCTTTAATCCCAGGCAGAGGCAGGCGGATCTCTGTGAGTTCGAGACCAGACTGGTCTACAGAGCTAGTGCCAGGACAGGCTCCAAAGCCACAGAGAAACCCTGTCTCAAAAAAACCAAAAAAATTGCAGTGTTACCGTGTATTCTACAAACATATAAAAGTAATAAGTTGTTAATTTAAAAGCAAAAAAGTGAAACAGAATGATAAGTGATTATTATAAAGATAAAACACAGATCAATAGAACGGAACAGAGAAGCTAGGAACATAAAAAAAATATACATCAGACTTATCCACATTAGTTTTCATATGGTGCCTGCTGCCAAGCCTAATGACTTCGGTTCAATCCATAGGACCCACATGGTAGGAGGAGAGAACCCATTCCTGTGAGTTATCTTCTGATTTCTATACATGTGTCATGCATGGCACTCACAAGCACAGAATAAAAAACAAAAATAGGCCATCCAGAGAAAATTTCAAGGAAGCTGCCAAAATTTCTCCAAGGTATTCTGACCCACCTTGAAATATTTAGGTCACGTGACCTAGAGTAAAGTTTGTTCATTGTCATATTAAAATTAAAACCTCTGTGCAGGATGCATTCCCGTATGTCATTTTTTGAACACACAATGAATGAAGCATGACTTCAAACTGAACATGCTCAGAAAGTATGTTTACCTCCAGGAATGAGTCTTTACAAGTGAACATACATGGGCTTTCCTGATAAAAATCCTTGCTCAGGGTGCAATGCTTTGAATCATGGTAAGGGCTCTCCTTACTTGCTGTTAGAGTTAAGAGTAGTTAAGAGTCCCTCTAATCCCCTCTTCTGGCTGTATCTGCTGGCTGTGTTCACTCACCAAAGGACCAAATTTGGTTATAAATGGGCAAAGAATAATCTTTATAACAAATGGTGATAGCTACACATCATAAATAAAATTCAGGTGGGTTGTGGTAGCACATGCCTTTAATCCCAGTACTCAGGAGGCAGAAGCAGGTGGATCTCTGTGAGTTCAAGGCCAGTCTGGTCTACAAAGTGAGTTTCAGGGTAGCCAGAACTGTTACTCAGAAAAACCCTGTCTCCAAAAACCAAAACCAACCAACCAAATAAATAAATAAATAAAACAAAGCTCAAAATGAATTAAAGGTTGTAATACAAGATTAAAGCAGAAACCCTGCCTCAAAAAAAATAAAAAATAAATACTGCTCAAATGGATTAAAAATCAAAATAGAAGAGTTAAAACATTAAAACTCTCGCAAGAAAACAGGTATAACTTGGATTTAAGTGATGGTTTTTGGATGTCACTGAGAGCATAAGTAACAGCAAAAAATCTGATAGTTGTACATTTTCAAAATTAAAAACTTATGTGTATATGTTTGTACAAGACAGATAATAGTCTCAGGTGTCATTGACCTATGTTTAGGTTAAATCTCTCACTGGCCTGGAACTCACTAGGAAGGCTAGACTGGCTAGCCAGAGAGTCCCAGCTGCCCACCTCTATCTACCTCTCCAACGCTGGAATTACTAACTCATATCACTACATCCAGCAAGCACTTTACTGACTAGCATCTTCCCAGCACCCCATTAAAAGCTTCTATGTCCAAAGATACTAACACCAACAAGAAAAGATGAACCATATAAATGGAAGAAATTCTTGAAAATCACATATGAAGATCTACACATAACATATAAAGAATTGCTTTAAATTAAAATGTAGCCGAGTCATGTGCCTTCCATATAGTAGTCTATGGGGTTCAATTATCAGGACTGCATCACACAACATATACATGGGGGGGCATCCACTAACAAAATATACAAATGACCAATAAGCACAGTAAAAGATCCCTATATATCCTTAGTTACTAGGGAATGCAAGTCAAAAAAAAAAATCACAGTAAGATACCATTTCACATCCACTGGGATGGTGACAACAGCAATGAAAATATAGGCCAATAACAAGTACTGGTGACAATGTGGACAGACTGAAACAGCTGCAACATAATTCTGCAATTATACTGCTAAATATGCTTAAGACAATATATTAGCTGTGGTAGGTATTTCACACAAGAGAGTCCAGA